GGACCCGGTGCCTGTGCCAGCTGGGCAGCGCTGCCCGTCGCGGGAGGGGCCCTGCCCTGCAGAAAGGAGCACGGGCCTGGTCACCTGCCAGTGTTTCCCGGGCCAGGACCCCTCGCCCTGGAAGACCCGTGCTGGGTGCGCAGCTCGGGACTCGGGGGGAGGCCCTGCTGCTGGCTCTCCTTCAGCCCCGGTGAAGCCGTCTTTCCCGGGGACCCGCCCGGGCTCAGGGCCGCGGGGCCAGGCGCGGTGGGGCCTGAGTGGTGCGTCTGGCCCGATCCCTCACGGTGCTGCTGGGTGTTCTGCTGAGTGTTCGGTTGTCCAGGAGTGTGGCCGGTGAAGCCGGAGGAGACACGAGGCGGCTCATTCCCCCATAGATGCCGTCCCTCCGCTCGCCCATCTGGGAAGTGAGCTGTGGCAGATGGTTTTTCTGGGTCCCCGCTGGCCGGGCCCCATGGGACAGTTTGGCCGTGCACAGAGGAGAAGGTGTTACATCGGACTGTGGACCCCTCACTGGGCCTGGGAGGTGCTGGCTCCCACCTGCCCGAGCGCCTGCTTCTGGCCTTCAGGTCTCTAAGTCCCTCTGTTGCAACAAAGGAACTTGGGAGGCTGGGAGCCTTCAGAGGCGTGTCTGATAGAAACTAGAATGTTCTGTTTTCCTTGGCACCAAGAGGAATATTGTTTGGAAACAGACGTTCTGTGCTCTCAGTACAGCTGAAACCCCAGGTTCGAGAGCAGCAGGTTAGTTTCCCGCACCGAGCGAGGTTGTCCTCAAGTGCTTTCCCTTCACACACCGGCCCGTTCCGCCTGCGCCTCGGAGCAGCTCCTGGCCTTGCGTCCTCTGAGATGACAGGCTTCCAGCTCCTTGCGGGAAGCCTGCCAGCCTAGGTCTCATTAACTGTCCCTTTTCCGTCGCAGTGGCCAGGCGGGCGGGTGGGAAGATGTGCTCATTGGTGCTTTCAGGCTTCCTGTCCCAGGGCGTCGGTCACTGAGACCCTGGACCTCCAGGCAGCCCTCCCGGTGTAGTAGAAAGGGCAGTCCTGTTTCCTGTCCCCTGGAGCCACGGTTGCCATGGCACTCTGCTCCCATCCCTCAGCTTGAGTAGCTAAAGCTGGGCTTTACAGCTGGCCCAGCCCTGCGTCCCTGGGTGCCCCTCCTGTGGTCCCTAATTGGCATTGAGAAGGGGCCCTTTGAGCTCGGCCTCCATGCTTCCCTGGCAGCTCTGCCCCTCAGAGAGCTGCCTGACTGGCCTCTGAGCCCCCACCCCAGGGCCCCAGCCTCTGCCGTGGCCCTAGGGCTGCATCTAGGCCTGCTAGGCGGCAGGGAGGGGGGTTCTCACCCCAGGCCCGTGTCCTTTTCAGGGATCGCTGTGTGCAACATCCCGTCGGCAGCGGTGGAAGAGACAGCCGACTCCACCATCTGCCACATCCTGAACCTGTACCGGAGGAACACGTGGCTGTACCAGGCGCTGAGGGAAGGCACACGAGTGCAGAGTGTCGAGCAGATCCGGGAGGTCGCCTCGGGAGCTGCCCGCATCCGCGGGGAGACGCTGGGCCTCATTGGCTTCGGTACGTGCATCTGCTCTGCCCCATCCCCCTCCTCTGGGGTGGCCCTTCCCTGGGAGCTGGGGGCCCTGCAGTGCCTGTGACAGGAGCTTGCTGTCCACCAGAGGAGGGCCAGCACCCCACCGTGGGGTGGCAGGTCAGGGAGCTCACCCGGAAGGAGGGTCTGGGCTGCTTCTGGAAGAACGGATCTGAAGTGGCCGGTAGAGGGCTCGGCGGGAGTGGACTGACACCAGGTGGCTGCCTCGTAGGACTGGGAGCAGGCAGAACAAGCATGTGGGGGTGTCAGTGCTGGGCCTGCCTTTCAGAAGGTTCCCAGGCTGACCTTCAGCCCTTAGCTCTGAGCTCTGTCCAGGTACCTGAGGGTCAGGGCCTCGGGTGCCTGGGGTCCAGCTGGGACGAGGTGGGAGGAGCCTGCACACCTTCCAGCTCCAGGTCTGAGTGTTAGGGGCGCTCGCTCTCAGGAAGTCTTGCTCCGTTTTCCCGGAGTGGACAGGCGCCCGGCCTGGAAGGAGGGCGTGCAGGTGTGCTGAGGGCTGCGGCGCCCTCTGCTGGGCCCTCGCGTTTCCTGATGCCCTGGGAGCCAGGCAGCGGTCATGTCCTCTTGGGTGGTGTCAGTTTGTAACCTGCTGGAGGCCCAGGCTGGAGGCTGGAGGGGCAGGAGGCTCCACCTGGGGGTCAGGGCCCGGCCTGCACACCTGGGAGTTCCCGTGCCCCCTCTCCTAAACCAGAGTGGTTTTCTATGGCGATGGGCACTCAGGCGGGACTGCGGGAGTTAGTCTGATCACCTGGCTCCTTCCATGTGCAAACCCGGTGGGGGTCAGGCAGAATGTCCTGTTAGACACTGAGAGCAATAAGGAAGCAAAGCCCAGGGTAAGAAGCCCGCTGTGTGGACAGCAGGGAAATGGGCGTGGGAGAGACTAGCAGCCGGGGCTGGGGCGGAGTACGTGGAGTGGCACCCTCTCCCGGGGAGCTGGCCCCAGTGAGACCTGGAGAGCAGCGCTGGTCTCGGGCACCAAGCCTCGGGCTCACAGTCCTTCTGGCAGCAGCTTCTGGTTGGTCCAATTGCCCGGAGAGATGGCAGAGCTGGGTCTGGGGCACCATGCAAACCCCCCCACACACACCGGGAGCCCGGGCAGCAGGAGGGGCCTCGGACTCGCTCACCTGGATACTCTCTTTCTGCGCAGGTCGCACTGGGCAGGCGGTCGCTGTTCGAGCCAAGGCCTTTGGATTCAGCGTCATCTTTTATGACCCCTACTTGCAGGATGGGATAGAGCGGTCCCTGGGCGTGCAGAGGGTCTACACCCTACAGGACTTACTCTATCAGAGTGACTGCGTCTCCTTGCACTGTAACCTCAACGAGCATAACCACCACCTCATCAATGACTTTACCATAAAGCAGGTAATTTGCGACAGACGCCCTTGGACCTGGCAACTTCTCTCAGAACAAAGACGGGATGGGAAATGGTCTACGGACACACAAAGTGAGCAGGCAAGAAAGCCCCCGAGATGGATCAGTGGGAAGCCTAGTGAGGTCTCCTCCATGGGGTGGGCCCTGCTGAGCAGGGAGGGCCCAGAGCTGGCCCAGGACCCGGCAGGGCCTGCCCTGTGTAGGCCTGGCCTCCGAGAAGAGACAGGCCCAGCCTTCCCACCTGTGTGCCTCTCTTGGATCAGCGGAAACTGGCCTGGCCTCCAGCTGTCCCCGAGACTCCGCACTCGCCCCCAATCTGCCGCACACGCGTTAACGGCCAGACCTGCAGAACTCCCGGGCTGCTGCTACCTTCTTCAGCCTCCGCACGAGTGCCTCCTGCTGCCTCGGCCTCCTGTTGACCAGCTTTTCCTTCCCCCCACAGATGAGGCAAGGGGCGTTCCTGGTGAACGCGGCCCGCGGCGGGCTGGTGGACGAGAAAGCCTTGGCCCAGGCTCTCAAGGAGGGCAGGATACGAGGGGCGGCCCTCGACGTGCACGAATCGGAGCCGTTCAGGTGGGTCTGGCCAGCGGCCACACGGTTTGTAGCCCGAGCTCCCGGCTTCACACCTGACCCCACACTGTCTGGGGCACTTAACCGGACAAACACGTCCTGGGTAGGAAACAAGACAAAGTTCTCTCTCTTGTAAAGGGGCCAGAAGATCCCCCAAAGGTAATCAGGAAAGGGCGAGGCAGGAAAGTGGGGGGTGGGTTAAGTCTGCAGACATAAGGCTCCATCTCATTACTGTTTGTACATTCATCCAGCTTTGCTCAGGGGCCCTTGAAAGACGCACCGAATCTCATCTGTACGCCCCACACAGCCTGGTATAGTGAACAAGCCTCACTAGAGATGAGGGAGGCCGCGGCCACCGAGATCCGCCGGGCAATCACAGGTGAGCCCCTCGGCGCCCAGAGCAGCCGCCCCTCGTCCTGGTGACAGGCGCGCAGAGGGGTAACAGGCGTGGGGGTTACGGGTCTAGCTATGGGCGGACATCGGTCTTCAGGTTGGTTGGGTTTTGAATGCGCTGTACCCTGTGCATGTCCCCAACTGGATCCCAGAGGAAGGGGCCAGTGCAGCCTGCAAACCAGGAGGGCGACCGTCCCCGCAGGAGCAGGAGGCTGAAGTCGTGTTGAGCTCAGTGCTGGGCTCTGAAACACTCCACGTTCCAGTCAGGTTTCTCTCCTTGCAAACGGTGGAGGCCGTGTCCCCAGAAGCAGCTACTGAGTCTAGTATTGAACTCACTGCCACCTTAGAAAATACATACGATTAACTTGAATCCTCTTACTCCAGGTCGCATCCCTGAAAGCCTAAGAAACTGTGTGAACAAGGAATTCTTCGTCACAACAGCTCCCTGGTCAGTAATAGACCAGCAGGCGATTCATCCAGAGCTCAATGGTGCCACTTACAGGTGGGGAGGGGACCGAGGAGCGGGGAGGGGGTGGGCACCTGGGAGCTCGCCCAGCCTGGGCTGAAGAAAGCTCCTCCCTCTCTGGGAGGCCCGCACACTGTCCGAGTTCTTCCTGTGCCTTCAGGGTCCCGCCTAGAATTGAGTTCCTGTCCTAAGAGGGCAGGTGGGGGTGCATCGCCCAGTGGGTCCGAGCACCGCGAGGAAACACCCTTCATTGTGAAGCCTCTTCAAAGCTGGGCCTCTAGTGGAAACCACTGAACCTGTTGAGACCGGTGCACTAGCCCAGGGAGAGAGCGGTCAGCAGTGTGGCTGAGTCGATGCAGGAGACACGAGCGGGGGTTTCTCTTCCCCCAGCGCTGCTGGGTTCCAGGGAAATAGACCCTCCCCCATCGGGGAGCAGCTACGGCCTTAAGCCCCGGAAGGAAATGGACACTCAAGGACTGGGCCTGACCGCTCTGCCCTGGGGGCCTGGCCTCCACGCAGTCATTACTTTACACCAAGGGTGGGCAAAGTCCGCCCTGCCAAGACCACCACAGGCAGGACTCGAAATTCAATAAATCTAGGAGCTTTTTTTTCATAGCTAATTTTTAAGTTGATAATTTTGTATGGCCCTCAAATGTTATAAATAGCCAAATGGCCCTTGGCAGAAAAAAGGTTCCCCACCCCCTGCTTTTAAACAGACCAGGGCGCCTTGGCCTCCTGGAACACAGCTGTGCTCACGGGATCCTATCCAAGCCCTCGGCCCGGCCGCCCCTTGTCAGCACTGAAAAGCCGTGGAACACGCCACCCCTTTTACCGCCCTCGTAAAGGGTTTGGTAACAATAGTTCTCAGTCGCCTGCCTCGTGTGACACACTGGGTCTCACTGCACGAGAACCTTGTGGTCTGCAGGTGGCTACATGCCACCTGTCCTCCCACGCAGCAAACCGCCTCCAGTTGCAAGTCAGGCCCCTCCAGGTGTCCTCGGGGCGGGCGCCAGCTCACATTCCCCGCTGCCCTGCCGTTCGCGCCAGGCCAGGAGCACACCCCGCAGCTGCCTAGGAAGCCACGTCTAGGCCAAGAGGACTCAGCTCTCTGCTGGGAAGTCATTAAACCTGGCAACAGAACTAACGGCTGCTTTGTACAAAATGTTTCCCGGATGTGGGACAGCCCACAGACAGCGTCAGCAGGGGCTACTCCGACGGCCTGAGCTACAGAATTAGCAGCCCAGTGTTTTGATAGGTTTTATTGTTCATGAATTATGTTTACACAGGTTCCTCCTTGCTTCGGGGGTAGGATGACAGATTATCCCATAAAAGACCAGAAGTAGGTACAGCCAAGAGCGTGGCACCTCCTACCCTGGACTTACCTGGCCCCTTCCTTCTCTCTGCTCCGTAGATACCCGCCGGGCATCGTGGGCGTGGCCCCGGGCGGGCTTCCTGCTGCCATGGAAGGGATCATCCCCGGAGGCATCCCGGTGACTCACAACCTCCCCACAGTGGCACACCCTTCCCAAGCGCCCTCTCCCAACCAGCCCACAAAACACGGGGACAATCGAGAGCACCCCAACGAGCAATAGCAGAGGATGACAAAGGGTCGGATGAACCTGGGACCAAGGACAGTGGAAAACAGATGAACTAAGAGAGGAACGTGGCGTCTTTTTAACTGGCCTGGACAAGCGCACCATGGACACTGCAGTGCTAAGACTACGAGAGCACGAGGCCGAAAACGTGGGAGGGAAGATGCCTCTCGCGGAGGCCCGGAGACACGGACGTGATTTATTAACGACCAGCTTCTGTTATTGTGTGTTAAGTTTTTCATCTGTGCATCAAATCACAAAGAATAAATAGATCTTTTTCCTTTATCAGTCCCTTGGGCACAGCAGGTCCTGAACACCTTGCTATAGAATGTTGCGTCGAGAGTCCCAAACGTCAAAATAAAAAATATTGAGAGGCAATCCCCATCCTGTGACTCTAGTCCCTTTGGTCCACGGGGCTGGTTACCTCTTTTGCTAATAGGAAGATTAAATTACCGCAAAACGGGGAGAGAACTGTGTGCCTGTGTAAACTGCAAGCACAGGATGGAAGACAGTCCGGCTCCTGTACAGAGAAGCCTCCCATCTGAACTGCCTACTGGGCGGGCGAGTTGGTTGTGAGTTAAGTGATACCCTCAAATGATGCAAAAAAAGAAAAAAAAAGTATTACGTTTCACAAGCTGTTTGTACTCAAATATATTTTCTCAGTTCAGATCCTCAGCTATTTTATTGAGTGGAAGTCTTGAGCTGAAAGGCTCGAGAATGATGTCGCATTTCCTTATGTCTCAGGAAACACTTTTTATGGTAACTTGTCAGATTGTCTATGAACAAACCCACTTTTTTAGACATTGATAAATTCTTTTCTTCACGTGATATTTTATACAAGAACACTTCAGGTGTGTTATTAGATGTGACTGATTTTAACAAATCCAATTAGATTTGTATCCACTAGTTACATGTTATACTCATAGTCTTTTGTGAATCATCGCCTTTGTTTGGAAGATGGCCTATTTTGAGCCTTTGTATAGGTACATTCCTGTTTTTGTGACAAAAACCTTTAAAACTGTCCCAAACAGAAAAATAATGGCTATCAGAAATGTTCTGTTTTAGTGTGAGTTACCGTTACTGTATTTGTTTATTGTAAAGGTGGACATTTAGCGTTCAGTGCAGTTTTCAATAAAAAGTAATAAAAAGTTCTGTTCTGAAATTCACGTACATCTCACCAACGTAAAAGTTCTCTGAGATGTTTATGGGCAGCTGCATTTCCAATCAGCCAATTTTCAGAAACTAACAGTACTTCTCGGTCTGCCTGTTCCGTAACCAGACGCAAGAGTGCGGACAGTGACCTCGCAAATAGCGTTTAGTTGAAAAGTCAAAACCGCACATGTGTAGTCATCGAATCACGCCATTCTTAATAAGACGAAACCAGTGAGAACTAAGAAACAAAATCGGTCAAGAGAGTTTTGATTTTAATTGACCCAAAAGCAAAATCACCTGGCTCGAGCATTAATGCAGGAAGGAAGGTGAACCTCAAAATTCTTCCTTTAAAACGGTATTTACAAAAAAATATTACAAAATAATTAACATCAGCCGTTTCTGTATGTTAAGAACTCGCAGTTGGCTTGCTCTCCCTTGTTAAATTAAGCCCCTTAGTACTCGCTAGGTATCGCCACGTGAATCAAATCCAACAACTCCAGGCGCCACTCCTTTCACCCTTCCCTACCCATTTAAAAAAAAGACCATCGTGGCATCTAAACCCATCAACCTGGCTCATTTCAAGGTAGTCGTCCCATCGCAGCTCTGCCATGAAAGGTCACACCGAAGCCTCCTCACAGGACAGGAACGGAGCACTCGGTCCAGGAGCAGAACATGGTCCACAATCGTCTTCGTGACCATTTCTGAAACAGGCCATCGATGCAGGCTGACAGGTGCAGGAGATGGAGGCCCAGCCGCCCAGGAACAGCTGACCTCCCCGAACAGACCAGTCAGACCAGTGAGCGCGAGCCGACCAGAAAGTCAACGCACCTGGGTTCCAGTTAGAACAGAACACACTGCTCGCCCTGGGAAAACCACCGTGCACGTAAGGCCACACAGGTAAGGTGTTGCTGTCCCGTCAGCCAGAAGACACACGTCTGTCACCCAGCCACATACTCGTACCCTTTGGGGAAGGACTACATACTCTCTCAGGAAAACAAATATGGCTGTTTAATAGTTCAAGAGCTTAACATAACATTGATTCACCCAACCTGCTGTGAGACCACTTCCGCCCCACCTGCGTCGGGCCTGGGATCCTGGAATCTACAATTCTTCCCACAGGGAAGGGCTGCACCTGCTAAGCTGTGGTCAGGGTCACGGGTCAATAAATAGAGGCACCTCGGGGGGGACGACACTCAGAGACCACAGCACACAGGCTAACACCGGGCCTGGGACCCTCTGGACAGCACTGACCGCAGTGTGGACGTAGTGACCAGATGCTCTAACCTCAGACATCTCTTTGGCTTCGATTGGGAGGGTAGTTTTTGCTTACAGCAACTACAACAGAAGTTTCGAGAGGCTCCACGCCAAGTAGTCAGAATGGCAGCCTGCTAAAAATTGATTACTGACCAAAATGAAAGCAAACCACAGCAAATGTGTAAAAAGTGTTAGCCACTTGGAACGGTAACAGTCACCATTCTTATACTGAAGCCTGTTTCTATGGAGTCCGGCTGCACGCAGAGCGGCTCTCTTGTCCTGGGCACACCTGATGCGTATGCAGAGGGGGAGAAAGAACTGGACACAGGACAGCTGCTGGGCATTCTTCTGCGTTTAGTACCCAAACCCAACCCCAAGGCTGTGCACATTTCAATGCCATCTCAAAAGAACTTAGAAGAAAACCAGAAGCAAACATTTGAAGGTGTTTGTCCATCAGAGGGAAGTGTGTGTGTGTATCCTGGGGCTTCTTTCCAAGTTCTCTGCCACGTCAACAGTCTACAAAGTGCTCATCAGGACACGAACTCTGTGCTCCTGAGACAGGTGTGAAATCTTTGACCCACCTTGAATGTTTACCTGAAGTGGTAAAATAATACTTCTTATAAAAAGTCTTTCTTACCTAAGAGTATACTTTTAACTTTAAATAAGAATGGCCACAATTAACCAACATGCAAAAATTCTCAACTACCCACTGAGAAATTCATTAATACAATGCACTTACCACCTTACTGCATTTTAAATCTTTATTCTGTGCTGAACTGACATCCCAGTTAGCCCCGGCAAAGGCATGCCTTGCTAGCACGGTTTGCTTAGCAGAGCTGATGACAAAAGACACCAGAATCCCACGGGGCCGTGTGGAAAGCAGCGCTGCCCAGAGTCCAGTGAGCGGAGGCCCCAGCTCCGTCTCGAGCACACCCTGACTGCATCCGGGAAGAGCCGCTCACGCAGGGGCTGTTGCCCAGAGTCTGGCAAAAGAACCCTGGTTTTAAGGGCTCTCCTCTTTTCCAAACAAATAAATACCTAAACACTGAAAGGGGCGTGTCAGAAACAACAAAATAATAGAAACCAAAACAAGGGAACGGACTGTCTACATGAAGTTCACTCAATAAAAATTCTTCCCTTCCTTGCAGCTTGTTCCTTAAAGATCTGATTTTATTGGGCACAACAGGAACTAAAATGTTAATAAAATAAGCTTGTTTTTATTTTTATGTTTTGCTGTGGACAATTTGTACAAAAAGTTCCTAATTCTCTAGAGCTCTGGTGAGACTCAATGTAAAGTGTGTCTGTAAGATGGAAACAGAAAGCCAGGTTCTACTTAAAAATATCTCAGAGGAACAAAGCCGTCTGCCGTGAGCTTTGGGAGGTGCCCATGCTGGGAGAGCTTCTCAGTGACAGGAAGATGCTGGTACAACTTTTCCTATTACACCACTTCTCACACAACCACATGCGGTACATTTACAGACAGAGTTACGATGAGAGGAAGGAGTTCTGTCTTAATGAAATTAGTTTACAAACTGGAGTCCAAACGAAGCTGGGTCCTCGGCAGACGCCACCTCCACGGGGTGCGGCTCAGACCCCTCCGGGCGGGCAGGCCCTGCGGGCTCGCTGGGTCCAGGCCATGCACTCTGCTTGGAGCACCACGCGCTGCGAGGCTGCCAGAGCCCATCCTTGTCTCCTGCTCGGTGGCCTGTTCATTCGTCTTCATCATCTTCATCTTCCTCCCCATCAGACAGGGACGTACAAGGCCGGATGTGCCGGTAGCGGTCAAGCCACTTCTCAACCATCTGGGTGACCAGGGGGTGGTTTCGCCGCCGGGAGCTTTTCTGCATGGCCACGAGGACGCCCCCCTCGGTCACGCAGCAGTCCAGCCACTCCCGGAGCAGTTTTTCCTGCTGTTCCTCGTTACCGAGCTTTTAGAGCAAACGCAACAACAGATCAGACTTAGCAGGATGACTTAATAGACCCACAGCTGGTGTGATTACCAACAAAGAGGCCAAAGCAACAAACTTCTAACAGTTTCAACCTCGCTGTTTTATAATTAACCCAGTTTCCTGTGTCAAACAGAAAAACATCAGGGAAATTTGCACAAACACCTCGAGGGACAAGCAGCCTAATAATCCTCTGTCTAACACAACAGCAAAGGCATGTGTTCTCTAATAAACTAATGCTGGCAGAAGCGGCTAAGAACAGCCACGGCCTTAAACACAAGGCAGATAAGTCTGCTCAGAAACTCACGTACATTGAATAAAAGAGCAATAATGTGTAAGAGCTCCCTGGATCTGCACGGTCCCCTACCTGGAGTCCTGCTCACGCCACTGCCCTGGTCCCTAGTCTCAACCAAGCTGCCAGGGCTCCTCCGCTGGGCAGACTGGCCGCTGGAGTCCCTGCTTTCCCGGAGTAAAGCTAGACCTTTACGAGGCCGTGGGGAACCCCACCCCTCAGTTTTGTGCCCCCTTCCCACCTCCTCCGGGTTCTGCAAGAGTCACCCCTTCCAGCTCCCGATCCGTGTCGCCTCCTGAGTGCCGCGTCCCCTCCGTCTCCCGCCCCCCCCACGCCGTCTTTTTACTTTTCCTCCCGGCGCTCGGCACCATCCGAGGGCAGGGGTTTCGTCCTCCCTGCTGTGTCCCCCACAACCCATCCTCACTGCAGCTCTGACCGGCATGGGAAAGCGACAATCGCAACCGGAGTCCAAACCGGACGGCCCGGGCACCTGGGGGCTGGCGGGCGAGCGCTCACCTCCTGGGCGGAGAGGAAGTGCACATGCAGCAGCTTCCGCTCGCTGTCCACCAGGGGCAGGAAGGTGATGGTGACGTCGTCGTCGGTGTTCAGGTTGGCACCCGCGCCCCGGCCTCCGTAGCCATCATTCTCCATGGCAACCAGCGCGGAGAAGTGGCCCCTGGTATAGCCCAGAGCAATGGGGCTTTTCCAACAAAAACTCTGTTCCCACAACAAAGGCAAATACACACCTGGGAAGAGGGAGATCCGTCAGACACGCAGGGCGGGCTGCAAAGTGCGTCAACCACCCACCGCAGACCCAGACACGCCCTTGGTTAACGGCTCACCTTGAAACCGAGTGTACCCTAAAGTCTCTCCCCGGAAGCTTTTATAATACTTCACTCCGTAAACGATAATCGGGCGTCTGAGGATATGTGCAAGTACAAAAATGTGCGTCTGCTCCAGACTCGCTCCCGGCTGCAGAGAACAGAAGGAAGGAGTGATTTCTCCAGAACATTCATTACCACACCCTGGGAAATGCACAAAACAACACTACCCTCCTCCGGTGCACTACCGAGAGGCATTTAAAGAAAAACCAAAACCCAACACTGTCAAACTAGTGTTTGACTCTTCAGATAGCCAAGTCCGACCAAGCGGAAAGAAACCTGCCGTCCTGCAGGAGCCAATCTAAAACCAACAGATCTGGGCCAATACTGATCTCGGAACCAGGGGTTCAGACAGTGAGGGATGCTCGATTCGTGACTGCCCCTGGTTAAGTTCCCTGTGAAAGCACTGCCTGAGGTCCTCCTGCAGCAAAAAGATGAGCTCTGTTATTTCCTACAAACTAAACGGCAGCATCACCTAATTCAAGACGACAAAACAGGTCTACCTTCCCTGGCACGATTCTGACCACACATTTCCAGGAGGCACATGTCGAGATGTAAAGCGTCCCCCCCGGCCCCCGCCCGCGCGCACAGCAGCTTGTTCCCGTTGATCAGAAATCACTGGTCTGTGGCACCTTCTCCTTGGCCTCTGTCACACGGTGAGCGCCACACCCCTGGGGGGCCTTATGAAGATCTTGGCTCATCTCAGGGCAGGCAGCTCAGCTCGAGAGTGCTCACCACTAGCTCAGTGCCCGTGGGGAAGTCTCCCCTCAGACCGAACGGGAGCTGACCTGTCGGCAGGTAAAATGGGCACAAAGCCACCCTTCTCTCCCTGTTCTGCAGAGGACTGGCTACGGTCACACGGGTGATGTAAACTGAGGGGTCAGCCACACGGCTCACTCTGCTCACAGGAGCGGCAGCCCCGAGCAGTCTCACCTGGCTGGCGAGGGAGAGAATAAATGCCCAGTCTTCTTGCCACTGCTCCTCCCTCAAGGAAAAGTGTAAACCGAAGCTCTGCGAGTACCACGACTCCCAATCTTTCCAACGGGTATAAAACCTAAAAGCAAGACAGTAAAAATAAGCCACCTAGAACAGAACGTTTAATGTTCCAATCATTTATTAAATGTAGTCTTTAAGCAATTTGTGTGAAAAGATTAATAATTTTATTAATTTTGCCTGGCTTACAATATATTTTTCAAATTAAAAATGCTTCCACTCTGCTAGCAGCCATCTTTAACATATCCTCAGAATAATTTCTCATCAAAACTTCACACTAGTGATGAGAAGAGTTCATTTCAATGGTCTACAAATTCAAAAAAACAAATACCACTCAAAATAACCTGAGACATTGAATACAACCAAAGACACTAAGTTTCTCCATTAACGTATGGTAGTCACCCCCTGGTCATTGTGTCAACAACAGACAAAACAGCCCACGTGTTCATGAGGACACCAAAGTCACTTCCCTGAGATTTCTTGCATTAAATAAAAGTATTTCTCTATGATTATCTACAAAAACAATTCCTTCTTTATATTTAATACCCTCCTAAATACTTCAACCTAATTATGAAGATCTGAAAATCAAACTGGGTCATTGGTTGACCAAATTACTAAAAACAAAATCTACTATTGTTCTTTACATTTGCACAAAATTAAGCAAAACCAGATATAATTATGCTCAAAATTGTGACTCACTGTCTCACAAAACAAGCCAGCAAAGACCCCCGAAGTAAAGACAGGAATTTAACCTGTAACATCACATTTCTCTCTCTCTCTTAGAGAACTAAAAACCCCTGTATTTGAATTCTAGGTAAAAGATAAAACATTCTGTCACTCTTGTTGAAAAGTTCCAGCACCAAAAAAAAAAGTTAAATGTAGCAGTTACACATTTCTTCAGTAACTCAAAGGAGGGCTCTGTAAACCGTAAACTAGTGCACTTTAGATTTTCTAAAAGGACAGAATGCTACAGAGGGTTAACTCTTGGTTGATTAGAAAACAATTTTCCTGTTCCAGGTAATCAAGGTGTTTTTCTCAGGAGCGCAAGTTTCAATGTGAAGTGTTTTAAAAATAAAATATGGATATCCCTCTTTCAAAATACCGAAGAAACACGGAAGTATATTTGAATGCGCAGATGAAAAAATACAGTTCTGAAATGTTCAAGAAGAAACATCACAAAACACAGAAAGTTATTACAAACCGAAAGACATGCCGTTAGGAGTTTCTAGGTCAGTGCCCAGAATCATTTTATAAATGAGATCGCTATGTCTCCCAGAAATTTAGTGATGGAGGGGTACTCAAAACTCCTCAAAAACTGCAGAGCAAGGAAGTTAAAAAATACATACTTTAAAAATAAGCGTGTTCAAATAATCGTACCCACCACACCAAAGACCTAAATTCTGAAACTACCTGGCTCGTTAAGAACAGAAAACCAAACCAAATCCAGGAACCAGGGGAGCGTTTGGTTTAACATTCAAAAATCAACTCCAGGTTCGTGGATTGTAAGACTCGTATCATCAGCCTGATGACACTCCCCAACTTAATCTACAGAGTCGGTGCAATCTCCATCAAAGTTCCAGAGGACTTTTTTTTGCAGAAATTGATAATATGGATCCTAAAATTTATATGGAAATCTAAAGGACTCAGAAGAGCAAAAATAATATTGAAAAAAAGTACAGCCCGGCCGGGCGTGGCTCAGCGGTTGAGCATCGACCTAGGATCCAGGAGATCACGGTTCAACTCCCAGTTGGGGCCCATGCCCGGGTTGCGGGCTCGATCCCCAGTGGGGGCCGTGCAGGAGGCAGCCGATCAATGACTCTCATCACTGATGTTCCTCTCTCTCCCCTTCTCCTTTCCTCTCTCTGAAATCAATAAAGGCATATTTTTTTAAAAGTACAAAGTTGAAAGACATCCTGATCTGGAAACTTAGCACAAAGCTACAAATCATCAACATAGTCTGATGTTGGCTAAAGACAGACATACAGATCAACAGGAAAAAAACAGTCCAGACACAAACCTTTACTTTATGGTCAAATAATTTTCAAGTGTCAGGGCAACTCAATGGGGGAAAAAACAGTCTCTTCAATCAGTGGTACTGGGACAATCAGATATCCACAGGCAAAGGAATGGTTTCATTACCTCACACCTTAAATAAACATTAGCTCCAAACAGATCATAGACTATAAATGCAAAAGCTAAACTATAATATTCTCAGACAAAAACATGGGAGTAATGTTTTAATGGACAAACGGATGGTGCAACTGGAGACTGAAATCCTAGAAAGGACCAAAAGAAACGCTAGAGATCAAAAGTCACAGACAGAAAGACTGCCTCGACGGGCCCGTCAGATTAACCCGGCCGAGGAAAGGCTCCTGGAGCTACAGGCTGTGACAACAGAAACTTCCAGCACTGAGGAGGAGGGGAACACGGGTGGGAGAAGAAAAAATTTCAAAGAACTGGGACGACAGAGGGTAAGAATTACTTCTGACTCAGCCTCAGAAACACGCACACGAGAAAGTGGAGAGAAACACCAACCTAGAGTTCATTCCCTCTCCTGTAAAATTACCCTTCAAAAGTGAAGGGTAACTAAAGACTTTCTCAGACAAACAAAAACTGAAAGAATTTGTTGCCATATACCTGCCTCACGAGTAATGCGGAAAGTTCTTTAAAAATATATATATATGTCTTTATTGATTTCAGAGAGAGGAAGGGAGAGGGAGAGAGGGGAACATCAATGATGAGAGAACTGCCTCCTGCGCGCCCCACTCTGGGGGGTCGAGCCCGCAACCTGGGCACGTGCCCTGCCTGGGAGTCGAACCACGACCTCTCCTGGGTCATAGGTCGATGCTCAACCGCTGAGCCACGCCAGCTGGACTGGACAGTTCTTTAGAGAGAAAATATATATAAATCAGAAACTCTGAGCTACATAAACAGCATCAAAGTGAGTGAAGGTAAAACACGACCATCTGTTCTGAAGGACGCACCCTTTCTTTAGCTATGATACGTCCATCAGGTCACCTAGTTCAGGCTTCCCAGCCAGGGAGCTTTTTCATGTGTCTACAAATTTTTACTATATTGCATTATGCTTTGAGCTATAATTTAGCTTTCAAGAATGTAATCATATTGCTCTCATTTTCAAATACTAGAGAGTACTTTCCTTCAATAAGTATTTACTGCATACTTACTATTTGTCAGGCTACTGAAGGCACTAGAACTTCCACAATGAAAGACGACAAAACCTCTCATGGAGCTTACAGTCTAACGGACTTCATGTAACCCCTAAATACTAACAGAAAACTTACAACTAGTAAGTAAGTGCTCAAAAGGTACCTAAAGATACTAAGGCAATAGTTATCTGGAGTAGACCACTACCATTCTTGTGTAATCATTCAATCAGGTGTAAGAGGAAAAACGCACATTTTGATACGAATGCAGGAAAAATAGTACGTTTTTTAATGACTCCGGCTACTTCCTAACTTCGACGATGCTGAGTTTAAGTTAGCCTCTTTCAGCCTCCACTTTCTCATTTATAACTAAGTGACAATGTGTGTGCAGAACCAAGAAAACAGCCCAAGTCAAACAAATGTAAAGACCAAACTACTGACTCACAAATGGGCATCGTTTCCAGTGACTGATCCTCAACAGTAAATTCACAGCTCAAGACTAGTCGTGTATTTTATTAGATGCTGTCCCGTGAAACAAAAAATGTGGTCTAAAAAGCACCTGCACCTCGAGAGGAAAAGGAACTCACAGTACAGTGTCAGCTAACCTCTCAACGCTGAATGAAAATATGAAATCTAAGCCACTTAAAACAGTATCTAGAACCAAAGCTGCTGCTTCCCCAGCTGCAGACAATACAACAGATGAGCAGTGTCCCGCCACTCCTGGGGACAGGCTGGGCAGGGCTCGGGGACTTGAACAGCAGGGCCAGCTCACCAGTGTGAACAGTCGTGCAGGCTGTCGTGCAGGGCTTTCCGCAGCACCGAGTCCTTGTCATAAATGCCCCAGGTCGCCTGCAGCACCGAGTCAAGCAGGCAGTCTCCTGCTGTCCGGTTCCAAAGGGCATAGAGCCGACTGTCCAAGCGCGTAGCCAATTCCAAGGACCAGTTTATAATTGGAGACTCCTCTTCTAACTCTGCAGGAGGGATTTAAGCGGCATGTTCATTTCCACACCGATGCAATTAAAAAAGGTACCGGGGAGGAAAGAACCTATTCTCTAGATGGTAACAGGCTGGTGTGTAATCTACCGATAAACGCCTAAATAGAGTTGTCAATTGCAATATAAACCTTCTGAACAGCCAGAACACCTGTGGCTCTAGGATAATTTACTCAACTTTTAAATTCTTTAAAATTTATTTTCTAAAAATGTTTAATATGGAAATACACAGAGTCTGGAATAGGAAGCAGAAAATCAGTTTAGCAACTTCTACACCTTTACTTGTTCACTCCATCACAGTTAAGAGCTGTGAATGTGCATTTCCCCCAGTTTACTGAAATACAATCAACAGAACGAGCATTTTTAACAGCACAATATGGCATTGTTCTTAAGGACTTTACATACATTTTTAAAGTAAAAATAAAACAAGTTGACCATACACTAAACTGTAAACCAAGCTAAACTGCAAAACACTTACTGACATCGACGAAGGGGAAGTGACTCTCGAATCCCCGGCCTACCTTTTTGAACATCTCTGTCAAGCACCTCATCAAATAACTTTTCTTGGACTGTTGGAGGCAAGTCTTCAATATCTACAAAGAAAAAGAGCCAGATCTCTATATGCCTCAGATCACACCACCACGATGGCACTTTAAACATCTGATCATATGTGTCAATCCTGCCTCAGTAACGATGAAGTAAAAGGGCAAGACTCTGGTATCCAAGTTCAAACAATACTAATTACATGCAGATTTTCATCAGTTCTCTCCCCCCTCTCAGCCTCCGCTCAGGCCGCTCCTCCCAGACATCAGAATCTTCCTATCGAGTTCCTGGGCTTCGCCCTCTGGCACACAGCAGTCCGTTTTTATCACTTTCCTCCAGTTCTCTAGCACCATTCAGTTCACTATTTGAGTAAAATCCATTATCCTTAAGAAAATGCTTTTAATGTTTTAAGTTATTTTCAATGCAAAATAAAAATCTAATCTAGCCCGGCCAGGTGTGGCTCAGCGGTTGAGCATCAACCTAGGATCCAGGAGATGGAGGTTCGATTCCTGGTCAGGGCACATGCCCGGGTTGTGGGCTCCATCCCCAGTGGGGGGCGTGCAGGAGGCAGCTGAGCAATGACACTCATCAGTTATGTTTCNTTGAGCATCAACCTAGGATCCAGGAGATGGAGGTTCGATTCCTGGTCAGGGCACATGCCCGGGTTGTGGGCTCCATCCCCAGTGGGGGGCGTGCAGGAGGCAGCTGAGCAATCACACTCATCAGTTATGTTTCTGTCTCTCTCTCCCTCTCCTTTCCTCTGTCTGAAATCAATAAAGAAATATTAAAAAAAAAAAATCTAATCATCACATAAGGTAAAAGCTTAAATACAGAGGTAGGCAAAAGCAGCTGAACTTACCAGCCATCATTACCTAAAAGATAAGTCATAAATAAGGACACTAAATAATAACAATAATAAGAAATAACAAATTTAAAATACAATCAAAACAACAATACGAGAATAAACTGTTCTGAGTACTCACAACTGTAAACCCACTTTTGCCCACCCTGTAGACAGAGGGTGTATTTCAAATGCAACCTGCCTGCCTTTAAAAGGCTTGGTTCTTAGCTCCTACACTTACAAATGCTCCTGTTCACATGTGAATGTAAAAGCTCAAAACACTCAGAACCAAGATGGAATTTATTTTAGACACTTCTGGTGTCTGGTGCATTTATTAAAGGCCAGCTAACAAAACCATCTAAGACATTTCCCAACGATCACTGAACTGAAAATGGAAAGTGCTTCACAGACACAGCAGAATCAGTGGAACGAGTAAACTAAGAAATGACACGTTCAAAAGAGTGTCAGCATCTTTCATTCGAACAATCTGATTCCTAATTTCAAAGTGACAGGCATGAAAAGAAAAACAGTAGACTGATAATATTTTTAAATAAAACCAAAGGGAAAAATAAGTGAGTTAGGCAGATTTTTATAAATATTTGAGGCCCACAAAGAAGTCCATCCCCAGCAGCTGTCCTCCTCCCAGACCCACTTAAATTCACAAGTTGCTCTTGCACTGGTCACTTTCAATATACACAGGAGCGTCAAGTAATTTAAGATGCACATATAACAGCTAAGCCATCTGCTTTCTAACAGAAACATTTCCTAGGCATAAAAAAATAATTGTAAGTGGAAATTTCTTTCCCACTGAGATCTGGAGTTACCTGCGGGCAATGTGAACGTGACCAGGTCGGTTAGGAAGTAGCACGCGAAGTCCCCCTTCCGCTGATGGAGCGAGGCAGCTACCTCTCGCCGGATCTGCTCCGTCAGCTCCGGACACACCATCGCTGGAATACACTTGGCGGCTTGCTGAGACACCTTCAACACAAAAAGAAACGATCCTCTGTGTCCCACTTATCATCAGCAGGAGCAGAAAACAGTATTTTAAAAAGAAATTACCAGCATTTCCCAGTAACTCAAGGTGGTGGTGGTGTGTTTTTGAAATTTTTAAATATACTAGGAATGGGTGTAATTTCCTTGCCAGTGGAAGGAAGCGTCAGTACAGCATCCCAGGAAAACAGCCATTTTAGCCTCTGACTCAGTAATTCTACTTCAAGAATTTATGCCCAAGGAGATATACAAAGATGCCCACGAAACTTATGTAAAACAGTGTTGTTCCCAAAGGTTCATCATAGGAGGGGAGGGAGAATAGTTAACAGCCCACATAAGACTAACCACCAGGCCCCCAATAAAAACATTCTTAAAACAGGGAATTCTAGCTCATGGAGGAAGAGTACAAACACTGCCCTCCAGCTCCGTTAAGAGTATTTCAAGTACCCTGACCTGTAATAAAGAAAACACAATGTTTTAAAGGGTTAGTTCCTGCTGACTTCAAATCCCTCCCAGTTTTTATAATTCTGGACTTCTGACAAAGCGCTGGGCTTCCCCGAGTGTAGAACAGTTAGGAATGAACCGCGAGCACTGGTGCAGGGAACACCACTGGTGCAGGAGAGCGCAGGCCAGGACAGGGCTAGAACTTCTCTTCAAATGACCAACAGCAACAAGTGATGCAAAGGTCCTAGTCTACATTTAAGCTGTACTCCTTTTGTGGAGCTCAAGAAATCTGTGTACAGACAATGCTGAGTCAAGGGTGAGAACACTAGAGAGGAAATGAGCTGAGTCTGGTGTGACCGTGGGCAAGCCAGTGAGCTGTCACTACAGACGCAGCCAAAAACCAGACAGACGTCCCGAAGGGAGGCTTCTCGTCACACGGGACTTGGAGCAAACCTTCCAATCAGGCACTCACAGAATAAGCTCCACAGACCATGTCAACGACATAACACATGTGGACAACTCAACTGTAACTGCTGTTAGGGAAGTAAACTGTTTCAAAACCCTGCACACCCAGCAGTCATCAGCCATGTCATCTCCAACTCCCACCTGGAAACTCGGTTCTACTAACCTTCACTGGCCACAATTACCAGTAACAATGAAATTCTCACTGCATCTGAACTCCAGGAATCCAATCTTTGAGTGACATTCAAATTATAGACAGCCAACTATTACCTATTTTCAGATTACAACTGCCTATTTCACACCAGTGTTAAAATGGATCTGAAAAGTAAATTGGAAATTAGCTTATTACAAGCTACTAACCTACAGCCCCTTTCCAAAAACCTGCGAAAGTTTTTCCAAAAACAACTTGGACTGAAAACCAAACACTGAAACACTCCGAGAGAAACCTCGCAGCTGGCGAATGGCCTCCAAGCAGTCCTGCGTCCACCGCCACCGTAAGCATGGCATGTCCCTGAAGCCTGCCTCTTGCCTTCTGCCTTTTCAACCTTAGGACTCTCAAACATCTCCTTAGGCCAGTAGTTCTTAACTTAGGGTCTGTGACCTTGGGAATGGGCCATAAACTTGAATAGCAATTTTAATTAAATTTAAATCCTTCATTTTTACTAACCTCTTGCCTATATTTAAAATGCATTCATATGTTAGATTTAACATTTTGATAAGTCTATTTCAATATACAGTTTACCCTTGAACGATGCGGGTTTGAACTGTGAGGGTCCACTTATATGCGGGGTTTTTTCAATAAGTATTGTAAATATATATCTATACAATCATACCCCTTTTTTTAGCACAGCGCTTGGCACATTGTGGGTACTCAATAAATATTTGTTAGTGGAATGAATGAATAACTGATACATCCCAGTTTTTAAGTCAAACACAATTCAAATATTGTAGCAAAATGTCCTGTTTTAAGAGCACACACCCTTAAAAATTATATACTATTGAAGTCTCTCAAGTTTAATATAACTTTTTTAAGGGGAAGAAAGAATCTAAAACATTTAAGAACTGTTTGGAGAAAAATCATAACATCAAAATTAAAAACAAAAGAAGACATTTCCACTGTGTGAAAGCACGCCTAACCAACGCCCACTCACCTCCGTGAGCAGTATGGCGAGCATGTCCTGCCTCTGGAAGCGGATGGCAAGGTGCACCAGGGTGTAGCCAACGTCGAAGGCGGAGGGGCGGTTCAGCAGGCGCACTTCGTCGGCACTGAGCTGGCGGGCAATGTCCCCCCCTGATGACTTGTAGGCTTCTATAGCAGCTAGATCACCTTCTACAACCCCTGGAACAAGCATCGAGATAGAAAAGAATTTAATTCCATTTTTCTTCAAAAAGCGTCAGCCTATAGCGTTCACTTTAAACTCTAAATGTTTCTCTGTGCTTTCTGGATCCTGGGCATCACTTAAATGCCCGACAGAATCTAAATTAGTGTATCCCCCCTTTAACTTCTTTCCAGAACGCGAACTGCCCTATCAGGCACAGGTACAGGCACTTACCTTCACATCACTGCTGGCTCCGTGCTCTCGTAGGGGTACAGGACTTATCAGAACTCTAACTGGATCAGAGGCAAGAAATGCAGTGTGGAAACCAGACTTCACAGAGGCTCTAAGCTCCTGTTCTGGTCCTGACTGCAGAAGCCAAGGACACAGAGACGTGCTTCCCTCTGGCACTGGGCACTTTTGCCCTTTATGCTACATTTTTATAAAAAAATTTAATGTTTTTTATTGATTTCAAAGACAGGAAGGGAGAAGAAGAGAGCGCTAGAAACATCAATGATGAGAGTGTCATGGATCAGCCGCCTCCTGCACGTCCATAGTGGGATCGAGCCCGAAACTCGGGCATGTGCCCTGACCGGGAATCACATCAGGACCTCCTGGTTCACAGGTTATTGCTCAACCGCTGAGCCACGCTGACCGGCCTATGCTGCATTTTTAAAGCTGAATCAAAACAAATGCTGAGCCTTCCACTCTGCAGTAGCTTTGAAACAATTTAGAGCAATTAAAACCATTTTCAATGTTAAGTGAAAGTTAGCAATATTTTGATTTCAGAATCTCTCATAGCCAAGACTTTCTTACACCCATTCAGAATTATTAACATGGTAAAACTTGACCAGATGATTCTGAACAAAACTGTGCTAAAACAAAACATTAAAAAGCAGGTGGAGAGATAAAACAAGTATTATCTTTTCCAAATCCACAAAGAACTTTCCATTCCCACTGAGTCGAGTTATTAATCTTAACACAAATCAACATTAGGTGAAGACACGGAGCTGTTGGTGAGCTTCACGTACCACAAAGAGTGTTAAAAACAAAACAAAACACCAAGAGTGTAGGACCAATCAAATAATTTTAAGTGCTTCCCAAGTTACATCAGTAAAAATTTGTTTGTTGGGTAAAATACTAACACTAATAAAAAAGATTCTTAGTGTATTTTTTAAGTGTTTTCCTTGCTCTCTTGAATTAGGCATTAGATAAATATGAGCTATTCCTTGGAGTCTGAGATTGGTACAATGCAACAATTTCCCCGTTATTAAAAGTAAGAAAACTTTAAAATGGCTGCTCAGCCCCACGGCACTGGATGCCCATGACGCCAGGGCCCCACGCTAGGCAACGTGAGAACCCAAAGAGGAAAAACGTGATTCCTAAAGGCAAACAGTCCTTCTCATCACACTCGTAAGCCATGAAACCAGCAGCAAATGCTTTCAAACTCTAGGGTTAAAAGTCCTTCCTGGAAATCTAGATTCTGTCCCCAGAAAAGTGACCCCCTGCTCCAGCCACACGTTTCAGGCCAAGTCCGTGGCGTCAAGCCAGTGCCTTCTAAAGGGGAGATTCACGTTCCTCACCATAAACGCCGAGTACAGCTGGAACCCCGCCCCCAATACAGGAAAAACGCAAATTTAAGTATAGATACAAAATAATACTTAAAAGCATTTTATTATCTAATGTTTTGGGAGTATTAACCATAATTAAAAACGCACAGCTCAGTTACTGGTGAGTTTCCAGCTAGAGGCGAGTGGGTTTGCTAAGGCCCCACCTCCCGAGCGTCTCGGAGCCGCCCGCGCCTCTGGCCCCACCTCCCCACGCACGTCTCGGGAGAGCTGCAGGGGGACGGTTTCCTGACAGGTGGGGTTCACTGTACGCCTGGGGTTCGAGATGGTCTGGCCCAAAGTTTTAGCTACCATGTGTTTTCTACTGGGGGGGCATTACACGCAGAACAACGGACAGAGCGCCTTAGGGCTCTCTGGGTAGCTCTGCGCTTCCACCACTGTCTGGGTCAGGCACCAAAGGAGAGGGAGGTGGGGAGCTGGCAGGTGGCGGGACACAGCGAGCGAGCGTCAGCGGCGAACCTCAGTTAACGCGGGAGAACAGGAGAGGCCAGGGAAGTCCCGGCAGACGAGACGGAGACGCCTGCCCGCTCTCCCGGCTGCCGACGCCCGCATGCCTCTGAGTGACGGGAGCGCGGTTCTCCAGCCAATGCTTCTCCACGAACCGCCCGCGCACAGCCGCGCCGCGAAGGCCACGGGAGGCGGCCGCGGGCTCCGAGATCACGGAGACGGCGAGCCCGCAGCTGCACCCTGCGCGCAGAGCCGACCGGTGACACACGGCTGGCTGAGTGGCGGTTACAGGCAAAGAAAGTGTTAGTGTACTTCCAAAACCATGAAGACCTGAGAGTAAGTGAAAGATCCTACGTTATATATTACATTACATACCCTAAGCCTGTAAAACACACAGCAGAAACGGGCATCATTGTTGCGCAGGCCGGGCCAGAGCTTAACATAAAGGGTGGGCAAAAGCAGGTTTACCGTGTGAGTATGGGGAACAGTTTATTCTTGTGTTATTATTTCTTAATTACGGTATTTTCAATATGAACAGCGGTAAGTCTGCTTTTGCCACACCCTGTGTTTTGAAGCCACAGGTCAGCCTCACTGGGGACTTCACAGCTACTATGGAACTCCGTTGGTCAGAACAGGGAGCTGGCTTAGAGATGTTTAGAAAACAGACTTATTTTTTTTCCCCCATATATGGCACAGTTTTCAAAGTTTTGCCTTATTTTCTTTTATGACATAAAATCATGATGATAGTTAACTAACTTTGAAAAGAATGCCAAATGGTTAAAAAAAAAAGCCAGGACTTACCTGAGCCCACCTGGGCAGCCCAACACTACCCTGGAGTTCCATGGCAGCTGTGACCGCACAGCATGCTTACGCTGTGGCTCAGGGCGCACCCGGAGTCAGCTGCACACTTTCAGGAGCCCTTAAAGAGAAAAGTTAGCTTTCAGTGGCCATGCTCGGAACGCCCTGCACCGTGGTCAGCGGAGGGAGCAGCTGCGGCTGCCTGCAGCGTCTGGGTCCTCTTTTCCTACCTAGGTTTAACTCCGGGCACTGGTTTTGCATATTAAAAGGAAACGATACCACCCTGTAATACCTTTTCTTTATACTCCTAACCATTTGGCTATAGTTCAATCATGAACTTGGTTTAGTTACAGCATCTCTTTCAATACTTAAATATGAGCTGCTTTTTAAATAAAATGACCAGTATTTTTAAGTGTATCTTCAAGTAGACACAAGTTCTGTGGCAATCCCAAAAATAGTTTGAGCAGATAAAAACAAATCACCTGTAGATGTGTTTTTCACATTAAAGTTAAAATCTACCATTTCTATTCCTAGGAGAGTGCTGGAAAACAATAACCTTTTCAAAAAGCCAAGAGATGAAAATCACAACCAGAAATAAATCCTTAAATTTAGTCTAATCTATACTGTATCAAAGATGAGCTTCTATTCAACTCATTCAATAAACTCACTCCATTATGAAAAGATCCTTTTTAGAAAAATAAGACACAATGACAGGGAAGTCAAAATAGTCTCTAATTAAGGCTTGTAAATGTTCTATTATTAATCATGAGAACTTGCCAAACACAGCTTGTCCTCTGGAGATCTTACCTCTTTATCTTTGATCAGACTGTTAACAACCCACCTGCTGTGGAACTATAAACTCCCCAAGTCATGGAAAACGGTACCTGAGCCGCTGGGTCCCTTCCTAGGAAAGATGTCCCTGCGCAGGAGGAACTAGTGCTGACGGCACACGGAAGGACTCAAAGGAACGTCTCACCTGTTAGCTTTGGGAAGGGACCGGACGTGAGGATACGTTAATGGGTCAGAGAAGATGAACCCAAGTTAAAAATACAAAGGTCACTTAAAATATTGCTGAGAGCCAACTGAGGGGGTACTGGGGTTCTTGCAACCCAGGGCTCTAGTCCTTTAAAAGATGGTCCATCAGTCCCCAAGTTCCTCTGGCCTCAAGTAAAAACGTCTTGTGCAGCGCTGCCAGCTACCCCAGCTGAATCGGAAGGCAAACTTTAGATGTTTAGAAGTGTACTATTTTGGGGAGGCCTGGAGGGACAGAAGAGTCTAGCCCTCTCTCTTCCCAGTGAGAAAACTAGAGGGTAAAGAAAATTTAAAGGCAGGTGTGTGGGGGGGGGTCAATAAAAGGAAAACCTCTCATGACAGAGCATCACTTTATTCTGTTCATATTAAATCCATTAACTCTTCTTCCAGCCAAAATACTCTGACAGAATTAAGACAGGGAATCATCAAATTGGAAGAATGTTTAAAAGCACCTTGATGAGGTCCCCAGGCATAAGCACAATACCAGCAAGTCCCTATAATTCGCCACTGTGAGAGGAGGTCCCACAGCTTCCGTAAACTCACGGCCTCACAGTATCCAAACAAGCCGAGTGGTAGATTTTCCCCAGAAGTTTCAGGTCTGTCCATCTAACCACCCACGAGACGACATGTCTAAAAGTGAACTTCACTGTTTCCAACGTTTACTATCCAGCCAAAGAGTCCAAACCAGGAACCTGGGCAGTCTTTCCTGATGCCGCTCCTCAGCCCCAACATCAATTCTGTCGAGTCTCGTGGACCCTACTTTGAAGGCTCTGTCCGTCTCCCCTTGGTCCAGCCTGCACGCTCTCCCCGGATTAATGTGATTTCTGCCTAAAGGGTCTGCTGGCTGCCTCCACCGCTGCCCCCCAAACTGACCAGGCCACAGCCCGCTGAGGGCCGGCTGACTTCACAGGCTCGGGAGCACGCGCAGTGAACATCTGCGTGCACAAATGAAAGCGGTCAGTCAGGGAAAGCGCAAAAACTAAGAGTTCTGAAAAGCAATGGGAGGGCGGCCTTAGCAAGTTTTTAAATATCTAGCCCGGCCGGGAGTGGCTCGGCGGTTGAGCGTTGACCTGGGATCCAGACGATCGGGTTCGTATTCCCAGTCAGGGCACAAGCCA